GGAAAATAGCTTTGGTTTGTGGTTTGTTAAAGGAATGGAGAGACTTGTGTTGGGCAGTTCACCTTCTAGTTTTGGAGTCTCAGGCCACTTCCTTAGTGCAGGGTTAAAGACAGAGAAACCTTTTGTTATTAACCTGTCCTTTCGGAAAAGAAAAGGGGGAAAAGAGGCAGCACTACTTCTTTAATTAGCACCTTGACACGTTTCAGGGTGTGTTTTGCAGCAACTGGACAGGAAAAAACCTGCCTGTGCTCATGTCCTTGACAGGAGGGGCTGCCCTGGGCAAGCTGAGCCCACTGTTAGCCTCTCGTGGGTGCAGACCCCAGGGGTGGGAGGAGGCCCTGGAAGCGCCGGGGTCAGGTACTGGCTCTGTGGAAGGCTGGTGCCCGTCCCTGCTTCCCGCTGGGTGGCAGAGCCGGCTCTGCTCTCTGGTTCCACACCTTGCTCTTGCAATGGGAGCTGCCAAGGAGGGAATTTTTCCTGCCGGAGCTGCTCAGGGAAACGTGAGCACCTCCCCACATTCTTTATCACCCTAGGATAAGGCAGGAGGGAAGCTTGCCCAGACAGAGGAAGGGTGCAAGCAAGGCTTTGGTTGTAGCCAGAGGGAATCGGTGAGGAAGCCTTTTTTTCTCTGGAGGCTGCTTTTTTTCTTTCCTTCTCTCCTCCCCAGCATATTTGCACCGAGTGGGAAATCACAGCTCCTGTTAGTAACATGCTTGCACACAGAAAGGTGCTGGAGCACCCACCATCATCTTGCACAGCCTCTGCTCGGAGAAACTGTGCTCTGGAAGGGGTTTAAAATGGAGGAATTCTCGGCTGGGGTGTGTGCACAAACCTCTTCTGTGCTTGAGAGCTGCCCCATCCCTGGAAGTGTCCAAGGCCAGGCTGGATGAGGCTTGGAGCAACCGGGGCTAGTGGAAGGTGTCCCTGCCCATGGCAGGGGGTGGGACTGGATGATCTTTAAGCTCCCTTCCAACCCAAATCATTCTATGGTTCTAAAATGCTGCATCATGGTGCAATCAAGATGCAAAAGTACAGCGTGTCTTTACCCCCATTTCCGAGGAGGGTGCTGACTTCAATCCAGGTGTCTCCCTTTGCTTTGTTTAATCTGAGGTTATTTGTTTCTCTTTCACATCCCTTCCTTGCCAGAGTGTTTGTTTCCATGTCGTGAAAAGCTTTGCTGTACCCCCAAGGACTGCCTGCCAGTGAGGAGGGTTCCTAGGCGGTTCCAAAAGGAGAGAAGGGGTTGTGATGAGAGTCCTTCCCTCTCCTTTCTTGCAGTTTTTCCCCCGACCTCGCCCTGGACTCTCCTGGCACCGACCACTTTGTTATCATTGCCCAGCTGAAGGAGGAAGTGGCTACTTTAAAAAAGATGCTGCACCAGAAAGATCAGATGATTTTGGAGAAGGAGAAGAAGGTACAGCCTTTGGTTTGCTTCCCCCCACAGCGTGCTGACACCAACCACGCTCCAAAGGAGTCTGGCTTTTTATCTTGGAGTAAGCAAATGGGTTTCTGGCTGTTCCCAGGCTGCCCTTTCCAGAGTTAAGACGGCTTTCGGGACGCACCCAGGAGATCTCATTTCCTAACGGGTCATGTTGCTGACCGCTGTCTCGGAGACCTCCACGCAGGGGCGAGGCTGAGGGACAAACACGGCTCCAGCGGCTTCGGCACAGGCGTTTTCTGAGCAGGGTGCCTCTGGGGGGAAGGTGTTTGCTTCTGCTGCCGGCTCACGTGCTCCTTGCTGGTTTCTCTGCAGATCACCGAGCTGAAGGCTGACCTCCAGTACCAGGAGTCGCAGATGAGGGCAAAGATGAACCAAATGGAGAAGACGCACAAGGAGGTCATGGAGCAGTTACAGGTGACGGCATCCTTGGTTTAACCTGCTGAGCTCTGCTGTACCCAGGCCTGGCTGAGGCCTCTCTTGAGCATGACACCCTGAAATCTTCCACAACACCGCTCTGCTAACGCTTCTCAGCCCTGTTGTGTCCCGTGGCGGGGGATGGGAACCATCAAACTCGTTTTACCTATTGCCAAAATTGGGTTTGAACCTGTTTCTCCACACGCTTTGTCAGCTCTGAATGTGATTTATGTGACCAGAGAGAACAAAGCTGAAGAAAGGGTTGGCAGTTCCTTTAGCACTCTCCCTCTGGAGTCCAAATAAAGGAGTCCCTGAGCTCGAGGAAACAGGGAGAGCAGGATTCCTGTCACGGCCATGGGAATGCTAGGCAGTCTGTCTGCAGGGATGCACAGAGCCACTGAGGAGATCGGGTCAAAGGGGAGCTGCTTACGGGGAAGAAACCAGACACAGAGATGAACTTTGCACCCTTTGATTACTTGGGGGTTTATGAGGATCTAAAGCCCTAGCAATGAGAAACGGGAAAGGGGATAGGACAGAAGGCTGAGAAAAGAGCCCCTCCTCCCTCAGCACACACCCCAGCTACTTATCCGAGGGGAAGGCAGGTCTTGGAGCCTGCAGCTGCTGTCAGAAGGCTGGTGCCTGTGAGATCCCCTTCCCAACGCACATTCCTAAGCACTCTAAGCCTGTCGGAAGGTTGGAATGTGTGTGGTATTCCCCGCTCCTGGGGAACTGGGAGGCACTGGTGGTCTGTATCTCAGGGACTGGTGACAGCCGGAGCCGTCTCCCTGTACTGTTTGTTGTTCCCGCGCTGCCCGTGTCAGCACAGAGCTGTTCTGTCTCCGAGCTTTGGCCAGCCTGCAAAGAGTGAGTTGGTGTTCTCGCTCCGGTTTTGGATAGACAGTTTTCCATTAGCTCAAATCCCTGCTTTTTGCTTGACTCGACAGTCCCAGCTGCCAGGTCAGGGGCTACCTGGGCGATGACCCCCCCCCTTGCCGTCGTTCCCCATGGCGGGGCACACCGCTGTGCGTGGGAGCAGCGTGCCCGGCTGTTGCCTTTGCTGCAGCTCACAGGATGTCTTTGAAAAGCTGTCGGGCGCCTTCCCACAGCCCAAAACTTCCTCAATTCCGGAAGGAAAGAGGAAACACCAGACCCAGGAGCAGATTTGCCCGCAGCTACCTGCCTCCTGCCTGGAGCGGGGCTTGCGTGGCTGTCACCCACTGTGCTCTCCCATTCCTAGCACGGGCCGGGACTGCCCTGAGCTCCTCTCTGGTCTCTAAATGTTCTACCTCAGCTGGTGTCAGCTGAGGCCCTGGAAACTTCCTTCACTGTTTCCCAAATAAAAGCTCAGCTCCTCTGGGTGTGTCGTAGGTGCCTTGAAGGGTTCACATGATTCGCTTTTTGCAGCTCCTCTTGGGTTTTCTTATTTTGTCTTCCCTTTTCACAGGGGGAAGCAGGGGTGCCTGTATCCTTCCAGTCTGCAGGAGGCAAAAGGAGCTGCTTTACCCCATGGAGCAGAGGGTTTAATTCCTCTAAAAACCCTTTGCATAGTCTTTTTTTCACTGGAAACCGATGCAGAAGTCCTGTATCTGGCTTCCCATGGGTTCTACCCCTTATCCTGCTGCTGGAGCATTAGCTGTTGGCCCGTTTCTTGCTTCCAGAGGTGATGGGGGCAGGAAGGGATGGGCAGAGCCCTTTCTAGGCCGTTGGAGGAGGGAGGCTGGACTCGCGCTCCTGCCTGGATGCTGCACAACAACATCCACCTCCTTTTTCATCTGCGCGCTGGATACCAACGGCTTCGCCCGGGCAGTTCCGGCATCCCGAGAACTAATGATATGTGCCACTAAATATCCCTTTCTACTGTGTTTCCAGGCCAAAAACCGAGAACTCCTGAAGCAAGCAGCTGCCCTGTCGAAGGGCAAAAAGCCTGAGAAGTCAGGAGCCATAACCTCTCCTTAAAGGCCAACCCCCGCTGCTGGAGCTTTCCCCGGTGTTAGCCGAGACCTGCCCGACCGCTGGAAGCCAAGCTCTCCCTGCTGACTCTTTCCTGCTGCCGTGGCCTCGACCGCCCGGAGCGTGTTGCCTTCCGACAGCGTGCTCGAGCGTTTCCGGGTTCACTCTACCACCGAGATCCACAGGGAGAGATCCCAGCACCCCATATCGCCCCTCTCCACTGAATCCTGTTTTCTGGAAGAAGCGTTTTTCCTAACCACTTCCCAGCACTGCCATCCCTTTCTGTTAGCCGAGCGGAACCTG